GTTCTTTCCACTCCTTACAGCTCTAAGTAGTTTCGTAGGAGGCCTTTCAGACAGAACTTTATGAGAGGACATTCCTGGACACCAGCACTTCTCACATGGCCTGGACCTGGACAGTTGCACCTTATCTCTATTAACAACACTGTCCAAATACTGAGCCATTATGGAGCAGCAGTGAGATACTACCTATGTCACCACTCTCTGATGCCAGCACCCTCTAGTTCAAAGGTTTTCAACATCCACTCCAGGCTCTGTTCCCACCTCTGCAGCCACCCAAAAGATGACATTATTATCCTTGTGGTCTCAGTAACTTAATACTACTTACCAAGCAGAACGAAAATTTTAACAACTGCTACGATCTTAAAAACATACTGGTTGAATGACTCCAAATTTACTACTTAGGGTGTCTCTTTATGCATGTAGATGTTTCCTATTTCGACACAAGACACTTTAACCTGAAATCTTCTTGTAGGGTCCATTGAAATCTCCACACATGGGTTTGAGAATCCCTGATTTAGAAAGAGTCCACATTTTCCATGTAAGAGTAACTTAAAGGAGAGTTTACTCTCCTCAGAGACTATTTCCCCTAACTCCCAAATCCTGTAGCAGCAGTGGGGGTGGTGGCAAGAACAAATGAGTACAGCCAGAACTGGAAATTAATTGGTTGGGTTTTCCTCCCTCTTACTGCTCCAGGCAAGGCTTTTCTTTCCTTCTTCTTTTTTTTTTTTTTGTATAAGCACCTTCCCCCATTATTACTTTACCTACAGCATTCATACACAGATGTGAAACTGTTTCATTTCTGACCCAGATTCTGGCTTTGAGTATTAAGTCTTTCCACACTCCGTATTTCTTCATATTTCACTAGGAGGATTATAAACTTATCTGAAATGGTAGAAATTCATTTTGCTTTCAATTTCTCATTCTGCTCTATGCTGCTGAAAAGCAGTGCATAATGAGAAGTGAGAGTAGCAACCTGGCCTGATGCCCAGCTAGGAGCAGCTAAGTTCACCTAAAAAGGATATGATGCTCCAAATGCCAAAAACTGGAAAGAGGTTGGAAGTAAGGAGAGGAAGATGTGGAAATATGCCCATGGGTAGTAATGAAGAAAAGTGAATTCAGCCTGAGGGTGGGACCTTCTGCCCAGCCTCTGTCAGCTTGATGTCTCATTATCTTCTCCATCTTCCCTAACCTCAGGACATTCAACTAGGAAACAGGTGGAAAAAGAATTGAGAAAGCAAGGCAAAACGAAAAAGTTAGGAACTCAGGGGAGGAGGGAGTCAAAACAGTTAATGTAGATTAGATTCACTGGTTGGGATGTGAGGGTTTGGGTGGACAGATACACACCTGTAACTCTAAATACTGAACACACAGTCTTAACCTGTCATCCCACCTTTAACTGTTATCCATTATCCACTTAATCTCAGGCAACTTTTTTTCTACCCTCCTATCCTTCCTCCATGCACCTTACATTCTAATCATCCTGAATTACTTCCTATTCTCCAAACATGCCACACTTTCAAATCTCCAAGCTTTTCAACATGCTGGTCCCCTGCCTGAGGTGTCCCTCCCCACTCCTCCACATAGAAAACTCCTACTGTTTCTTCATGACTCAGGTCAAATACAGCCTTTTCCGATGCCAAAGTCAGCATTAGTCATCCTAAAGAAATATTTCCTTTGTTACTTATCATAGTAGTAGTTAAGAGTACAGTCTCTAGGGTCAGACAGACTTGAGTTTGACTCTTGCTGATGCAACTAACTAGGTGTGCAACTGTGACAGCCAGCCTGCAAGATGGCCCCCATTAGTCCCTACCTCCTGGCATTCACACTTTATGTAGTCCCTTCCCACACTGTATCAGGCTTGGTCTGTGTGGCCAACAGGAATGGTATGTCATTATAGATTAGGTTATAAAAGACATTATGACTTCCTTCTCTTTCTCTCTTGGATTATTTGCTTTGGGGAAAGCCAGCTGCCATGTTGAGCAACCCTATGGAGAGGCCCATGCAGCAAGGAATTGAGATTTGCCAACAACCATGTAAGTGAGCTTGGAAGCAATTCTCCAGCCCCAGTAAAGCCCAGTAGAGCTTCAGTGGAGCCAAAACACTGACTACAGCTTATGCCAAAACTACCCAGCTAAATTGTTCCTGGATTTATGAACCATAGAAACTGTGAGATAATACGTGTTCGTTTTAAACCTCTCTGTTTCGGGGTAGTGTGTTACATAGAAATAGATAATACACCTGAGAAGGAAGGGAACAGCCCAGGATTTCCCATAAGAAAATTTAGGTTCATGTTCAAGCAATGGTGCTTACTAACCGAATACCAAATCTCCAGAGCCTCAGTTTCCTCCCTTGGAAAATGAGAAAACTAAGACTATAATAATACACTACAAAGTCAATAACATATCTTAGAACTAGAACATAAGATAATCAAGCTGTGGCAAAACAAATCTGATCCCTAAGGTACTGATGTTCAGAGATCCCATCTAACACAAGCAGAAAACTCCTCTAATAAGTGCTATTAAAAAAGCAGCCTTTTTCCTAGAGGAAAACATAGGCAAAACATTATCTGACATACATTTCAAAAATTTTCTCCTAGAAGAAATAAAAGCAAGAATAAACAAATGGGACCTAATGAAACTTACAAGCTTCTGCAGAGCAAAGGAAACCAGAAATAAAACAAGAAGAAAACCTATGGAATGGGAGAAAATTTTTGCAAGTGAAACCGACAAAGGCTTCATCTCCAAAATATATAAGCAGCTCATACGACTCAATAAGAAAAAAATAAACAACCCAATCCAAAAATGGGCAGAAGACCTAAACAAGCAATTCTCCAAGAAAGACATACAAATGATCAAAAAGCACATGAAAAAATGCTCAATATCACTAATTATCAGAGAAATGCAAATCAAAACTACAATGAGGTATCACCTCACAACAGTCAGAATGGCCATCATTCAAAAATCAAAAAAT